ATTCGCATGTTTGGCGTCACGTAGCACGGGAACTTATTATGAGCGGGCAGCTGATTAATTGTCCCTCTTATACAACCTAAACACACGTAGTCTGCCAGTACGATACCCTCGTTCAATGAAATAAGGGAGTGAAGTGTATACCTAAGGGCTCGTATTTCCGTGTTTTAACACAATATTGATGAGATATAACAGACAGTAATGCCAAGGAATGTACAGGGGAAGTTATTAAAACCAATGGAATGTACATAAGAAGAAAGAAAAGTGGTTGAAAAAATTACCAGCTGTGAGCAGGAATCGAACCCACGACCTTCGAATAACGCGTTCGATGCTCTAACCACTGAGCTGTGACAGCGGCCGTCTCTCCATCCACTTTTTGGGGTTTATACGTGAATTTAGAAGTAGGACTGACAGTCAGCGCCATTATAAGCCAAACAACGAGTGTGAAAACACTCTTATTCGCATGTTTGGCGTCACGTAGCACGGGAACTTATTATGAGCGGGCAGCTGATTAATTGTCCCTCTTATACAATCTAAACACACCAAGTCTCCCAGTACGATACCCTCGTTCAATGAAATAAGGGAGTGAAGTGTATACCTAAGGGCTCGTATTTCCGTACTTTAACACAATATTAATGAGATATAACAGACAGTAATGCCAAGGAATGTACAGGGGAAGTTATTAGAACTAATGGAATGTACATAAGAAGAAAGAAAAGTGGTTGAAAAAATTACCAGCTGTGAGCAGGAATCGAACCCACGACCTTAGAATAACGCGTTCGATGCTTTAACCACTGAGCTGTGACAGCGGCCGTCTCTCCATCCACTTTTTGGGGTTTATACGTGAATTTAGAAGTAGGACTGACAGTCAGCGCCATTATAAGCCAAACAACGAGTGTGAAAACACTCTTATTCGCATGTTTGGCGTCACGTAGCACGGGAACTTATTATGAGCGGGAAGCTGATTAATTGTCCCTTTTATACAACCTAAACACACCTAGTCTGCCAGTACGAGACCCTCGTTCAATGAAATAAGGGAGAGAAGTGTATACCTAAGGGCTCGTATTTCCGTGTTTTAACACAATATTTTTGAGATATAACAGACAGTGATGCCAAGGAATGTACAGGGGAAGTTATTAGAACGAATGGTATGTAAATAAGAAGAAAGAAGAAAGAAAAGTGGATGAAAAAATTACCAGCTGTGAGCAGAAATCGAACCCACGACCTTCGAATAACGCGTTCGATGCTCTAACCACTGAGCTATATATATATATATATATATATATATATATATATATATATATATATATATATATATATATATATATATATATATACATATATATATATATATATATATATATATATATATATATATACATATATATATATATATATATATATATATATATATATATATATATATATATATATATATATTGGCAGGAAGCGAACATATATATATATATATATATATATGTGTGTGTGTGTGTGTGTGTGTGTGTGTGTGTGTGTGTCTGTGTGTGTGTGTGTGTGTGTGTGTGTGTGTGTAATAAAGACGTTCGATGGAACAAGATGGTCTCTCTAGTGTTCGCTGTTAGTGATTAGGTGAAGTTTTTTACATATTTTAACACAGTCGGCTTTGACGATCCATGAGGTTTGTTCACTTCTTCGTTCACCCAGCCACAGCTAGCCTGGTCTTCATGAAGTAACAATTCGCTGCAGATTCGCCAGTCGATCTTAGCGTCGACGCGACGACAGCTGATCTCCACTGTTCTCAACAAGACGTGTATATGTACGGACAAACTCTTTGAAAAGGGGTTTGTGAAGATAAACCTTCAGGTCTCCCTTTTCAACCGCCTTGGGACATCAGAACGATAGAAGCCAGGTGTATAGGATTCAATTTCCTGTACAGATACATCCATTGTTCTTTAGACAATTTAAACTCAGCAGAAATAGGTTAGTCAATGAAATGAGAAGCTTTGGACCCTTTTTTCGCCTGTGATACTGCAAGACAGCCATTCTACTGAGGTTGTCAAGCGTGAACCATTCGATAGTTCCTCAGAAGATGCCGAGGCATGGATTACTTTCTTTAAGCACGCCTGAAGACGGAACAGCTGGGACACAGATGAACCAGGAGTGAAACGTATGTTCCATGAGTAAAACGTATGGGCATTGCATGAAAAGTGTATGAATAGCGTTTCGTAAAGCATGAGTCCAATGACCAAAGCATATGGAACTAGCTTCATCTCATCATTCCGTGGGAGCCCGCTTGAGCGATTGGATCAAGTCACTGGCTACCATTACAGGTCTGGACTTGTGATCGAGTATTTCTTTAGAAACCGTCGATTGCTTCTGCATGTAGAGCTGGACCTTCCACTGACTTCAGTTATAACACTCCCCATACATTGCTTACATCAGGAAATGCAACGACAGGCTCAAGCTAGGACGCCAAAACCTCTCGAGACATTGCTGCAGTCACTCTAAGATATGGCCTGTCATGGGATGGAGAGGACAGCAAAGTCGCATCGTGATGGTCGAGGGACAGGGTATCAGGAAAAAGGGAGTTTCGTGCGCAGCCACCAAAAATAATCGCAAGCGGCAAATATACACTAGCCATCGCACACCAGCGACATGGAGTCCATAATTGAGGAGCGCTCTTTCCATCGATTTAAAAAAGTTGATAAATGTGCGTTCTACCCTACGACACCGAATGAGGCTGTTTGACCTCAAGCTCGTTGCATATAGTAGCCCTGGAGGTCAATGGACAAAGTGCAAGAGCATCAAGGGGTACAGAGGCGTCTGCGCCCTTTGTAAAATCAAAAACTCAAGATGTATTTTGAGAAAGGTTGGTTCTTGCACGTGGATACGATGGAAGCGAGAAAGAGTATTGTGAGTGAGTGTCTGTAAGTGACGCACAAGTCTAAAACTGCAGAATTGGTTGCGCCAGTTTTAGACAAGGTGGCATACAACTTTCTCCTTTCAAATCCGAATGGGGAGTTGCTGAGGCTGAATACCCATTGGGACGATGCAGCATCTGTTGACAAAGAAGCCGGAAAAGCGGAGCCAGAACACGAAGCGCACCACGTGCGGACACCAAACAAAAACTGTGGAATGCCACAATTGTACCCCGAACTAGTTTGCTCAGGAGGATATTGACCACCACCGGTAACTTCAAAGATCAAGGTTTGATTTTGGTTTCATGACAAAACAGCTGTGAAAAAAGACCATATGAGTTCACACATGGAAAAAAAAGCAATGCTAAAGGAGGAACTTTAAAAGATCTTAGATGCCAAAGCAATTGGCCTGTTGCTGTCTTCATTTGCCTCACCCATCACCATTGCTCCATAGAAAGACGGCAGCTGGCGCTTGAGCGTGGATTACAGAGCAGTAAATAGCCAGACACTGCTCATTCCTTTTCCAATGCCGAGGATTGACCCCATCATCAATCAAACGGGATCCCGTACCTGTTTCTCTCGCATAGGCCTGTGAAGACTTCTGGCAAGTGCCTCTACTAGAACACACCAAGAAACACACCGGACCTGCACTATTATTCGTCTTATATAAATATAACCGCCTTCTCTTATGGAAAAACTTACTGAGTTGGCTTCAGAAACTCATGAATGCAGAATTGAACCTCTTCATTGGACTCTTCCACATTGTATATGTCGACATCATCATATACTCTAAAAGGAAAAAGCTCCATGAAGAACATCTAGCTCATATCTTGCCAGCATTATCTGATGCTAGGTTACAAGTTAATTTCTAAAAGAGTGACTTCTTCAAAACGAATGTCACCTTTCATGACAGTGTTTTAGATGGCACAACGAAGAACATGAAAAAAGAACTGATGACTCGTATTACAGAACTAGCAGGTTCGTAGGATATACACTCCCTTGGTGTATTTCTGAAATTGGTGGGTCATTTTCGAGCTTTTATTAAGATTATACTCTAAGTGGTCGTTGTCTCACAAGATTGACTCGGAAGGATGTCCCGTTTTGCTGGACATAAGAATGGGACGACGTCTACAGAGAATCGGCAGGCATAATTTCTTCTTATCCAGTGCTGTTCTCACCAGACTTATCACTTCCTTTTGAATCTCGCTCTGGAACAAGAGCCATTCTGTACCATCGAGATTCATCACGACCACGAAAACAACAGCTTCGTGCAGTTGGATATCACCGCTACACATTAAACAACACTGAATTGAACTACTCGACGATATAAAAAAAGCAAAATGTACCAACAAAAATTTTCGCATTCATTACCAATTTCAATCGTGTGTCCACCTAAGCAAATATCTTCCTGTAAGTCAACCGATATATTTTTAGCATGAAAAACATTATTTTAGTTTTAGTTGGATTAATATCTATAGCCAGTTAGATTGCGATCACAACACTAGTTTTCAAAGACGTAATTACATTTTGACGCTATATAATTTTTTAATCGAGGCCGGGCAGCAGGACATGCTGTCATCCGCATAGATAATAAATTTTGAGGTTGCATCAATACCTACAATATCATAATGTTTACGTTAAAGAAAAGAGGACCCGAAATTCTACGTTCAGGTATGCCGCATTTTATCAAAAAGATGAACGATAGCTTCCAGTACATACACACTGACTCCTGTTGGTGAGATTTGAACGGAATACTTTAGAGCTGTTTACCATGAAACCCGCAATCTGAGAGTTTCAGTGGAAGAATGTTATGGTTCAGTGAAACGAAAGTCTTGCTATAATCAACTAAAAGACCGAGATTTATAAGTTTGTTTTCAATATTTTGTAGCACGCACTCTTTTCCAGTTCATAAGGCTGTCTTCGTCACCCTAGTTATACCAAACACTTTTACGAGCCGAAGAGTATCTCTTGTTTACTTTCTTATCACTAAACCGGGTCGCACGGGTGTCTCCGCTGCCGTCTACTGCGTCTTCTCTTTGATTTATCTCTCAAGATTGTCCTGCTCACGTCTCACGTCCAGCCGTCGTATCGATGATAACACGACCGAGTGGGTCAACCTGATGCCGTCACCTTGACCAGAACGTTGTTACGGGGCGCGGTGCGTTACGAAGAGTATTTTCTCTTAGAAGGCGCACTGAATTTGAGTCATTCTTACCAAAGCGCTCATTTTTGCTGTGCCAGGAGTACTCAAAACAAGGCTTCCCGGTAAGTGGCTCTCTTTCTTCCTCTCTTTCTCCCTCTCTCTCAAACTTCATTGCGATGTCGTAGACCGAGTCGCTTTTGCACCTTCACTCTGTGTCTTCGTAAATAGATCCGCAGAGTAACAGCTTGCAAACCCGCCACTTTACTACAGTGATTACGGTACTCGGCTGCTGACCCAGAAGGTCGTGCGTTCGAAGCCGGCAGCAACAATCGCATTTTATTGTATCCTAAATGCAAGAGGCTTGTCTACTTAGAATTAGGGAGTCGTTAAATAACCACAGGTGAGCGAAATTTCCGGAGCCTAATAATATGGTGGGCCTTAAAATCATAATGTGGTCCTGTCAAGCTAGATTTCAAGTATTATTAAGGTTCTTTTTTTTTTGTCGACGGTCTCTAGTTTTAAGTCGCGCATCGCTGCACCCGTACTTCTTTCAGGGTAGGTTGGCATTTACTGTAAGTTTAAGAAGGCTTTTGACTTACTGCTCCGGGTTAAGAATAACACTACTAATAATAGTTTTACTACTTCTATTATTATTATTATTATTATTATTATTATTATTATTATTATTATTATTATTATTATTATTATTATTTAATATTAAAATTTTCGCCTTCATTGTAAATGCAGTCGCCGCAACCGGGATTCAGTTCCGCGACATTTGGGCGTTGCTCCGGGTTAAGCTTGCAAACTTTGGCGTTGGCTTAGCTTTTCCGTTTAAATGTATACAGTGAATTCATCTTAATGGAAGATGGTCCTATGTCACCGTAGTAGTCCAGAAGTGTTCAATGTTCGAGATAAATAGGCGAGATGAACAAAGGTGCAAATTAGAACCTCTCTTTATGCTCAACTTTGGTTAATGACATTTATTGCCTGCCCGCAGAGGTCCTAACAAAATGTATTGTGTAGTTCAGCCGAAGGCACTCAGAATTTGTAAAGAAATTTAACGTTTTCTCAGATTTGTGGTCTCTAGACATTTGATGCCAAGTATGAAATATCTGACTCTGATTTAGTTCAATAACACTGTGCTAACCTTCTGCGTTCCTTTTTTTTCATTTCAAGTTTCAGATACGTAAACATAAAAGCCGTCACCATGGTGAAAACCGCCTGTCTTATTCTAGTGGGTGAGTGTGCTACTTCTTTTTTGTTAATTCAGACCATGAAACATGCATGACAAAAACTGAGGCAGAAAATAGCGGCCCCTTAAAGAGATTTATCGGTCGGCGTCTCATTCAATACCTTTAGTTCTCATTATAAAATCTATGCGTTCTAAGCAGAATATTTTTTGTGGTTGTGTTTGTGAGAACCATCGAATGTAGATTCTCTTTCAACGTCATCTCATATCCATGTTCATGTAAATGAGGTCTGTTTTGTCATCATCGTTAGAGTATGTCTAAGAAGGAAATGTTCTGTTGAGTCTTATTGACGTTTGTGACAATATTTGTTTTTCTAAACAAGCAGAGCCTTGTACGTGAGACGGCTGCTGAGGCCCACGGGACGGAATCAGCTCTCCCATAGTAGAGTACCAAGCGCTCTAAATCGTTAACCACTTTTTCTGAACACACAAATCAAGCAGCTCTACCACTGTCATAGAAAATATAAAATATTTATGCTACCGAATTCGCAACTAAAGAGTGCTTCCTTTCACATGCACTGGCATGCTATTAAGACGTGTTTGATCATCAAATGCACGTGTCGTAGCAAGCTTACGACATGGGTGTTGTACATGCCAGATAACTTGCTGTCTATCTGTTATGCTTTGGATAGTATTGTTCTAATGCGAGGGAAGCGCAATCGACGCCGGCAGAGAGAAAGGTGGTGTCATAAAATTAGGCATTTGTGCTCACGGGGCAATTCGCAGTAAGCCGACAAAGAAGGCGAGACATTGAACAGATCACTGGAAAGCGACCAGAACACCGTGTTCTCCGCTTATTTCTTTTGTGGTGGGCCCTTGTGGTTCTTGCAACTTTGAATCAAAACATATTGGCCCAGTTCGCTATCAGGCATAACATACAGAAAGAAAGCGAAAGCAAGAAACCATTGCAAATGAAGGTAAAAAATATTACCTGTGGTATATAGGGTATTTACAGTTACCTACTTTTTACGTGGGTGGAAAAAGTTTTGTGTGAAAAAATAAAAATGAGCAAAGGGGGAGGGTTTGTACAGCTGTCACGATGCCATTTTGACAGTGACATGACCTGCTGGATACATAACACATTTCAAAAGACCCTGATTAACTTCATACACAACGCCGCTCTTAGGGTGCACCTCTAATGCACGTATACACGCTAAGTATTATGGTTTCAGCAAGTCCACATCCAAACTTTAAAAAAACTATACCACGTGGAATTGACCCACTTCTGACCAGGAAACTAGCGTGGCCTAAGTATTTGCCATAAAGTTTGTTCGTCAATTCAATCATCCATAAGGCAAGGCCAGCCGGCTCAAGGGAGGGCATAATGTAGATTGCTCACAGATGTCTTTATCTTGAACATGATTACAACGATGATGGTGATTTCTAAAACTGTTGTAACAATCAGCTCTGGCTGCCGGTTGCCACGTGACAAGTGGCCAGCAGCTGCCATTCTGGGACGCCAACAGCTACGTAGACCAGATGCTCCTGTCGAGGCTGCCGGCTCACAGGGAGGACATCGATCCCCTGGTGGAGCCGGCATTCGCTCTGCACAACAGTCACGACAAGCGGTACGGCCCGGTGCGTTTCGAAGACTCGAACGTCACCGGCCTCAGCCAGGTCTCCAGGGTGCAGCGCGGAGACCAGTGCGCCAGCGTCACCGACGAGTTCCCGGACAGCGCTAACGTGACGTGTCACGTCATGTTCGAGGCAGTCACGGTGAATGTTTTACGACAGAGTAAAGACCACTTAACGATGATGGTCGAATCACTTAATGCGGCTAAGCGCTATTTTGCAAAGCACACGTTTCGTAAAGTCTGTTCGTTAGCAGGAATCTTTCTAACTACCACTCACTGCGAGAAGCCCTTCATCATTAAGAAATGCAATATGTATCGCGTGCAAAGTGATCTACGTATACAACCTATGCAAGCTAGGCTAACGCCACTAATTTTCCTCCATTCAAACTTATCCGGCTTGGTAGTGTGGCATGCAGTTAACGTGTCGCGGCGGCTAAGCCGGTAAACTCCGGTTTGATTCCCGTAATTTTTACTACGGGTGGAGTTGGGGAAGAGGGGGTGGGTTTCAGTTAAATTTAGGTATATGTTCGAGAATTCCAGGTGCTCAAAATAATTGCAGAGCCTCTCCCTTGTGCGAATAACGTCGTAGTTACGGCTAGTAGAACCGCAGAATTTTCTTTGTAAGTTTAGTACACCAACATTTCTAGTCTGAGATAGAGAGATATACGCTATAACAAAAGGCCGGGAGGTTAACCAGAAAGCTAGCATCTGGTTTGCTACCCTGCACTGGGGAAGAGAGAATTGTAGCAAAAAAGTAAGGAAAACGGGGCGAGAGAGAGAAAGAGAGCGGGAGGGAAGAGGAAACACATATGAAGATGACAGTACGCTTCTCTGAAACTGCTGAAGAGTTTTAGCAACGTGCAGTGACTTTTATGTCGCCGAGCACAGGCATTGTCACCTACTTTTTTATCGGTCAAGGCGGAGAGTCGAGTAGTGGAACCTTTTATTTAAAATACGAGGGTTAGTCAGGCCCCCTCTTGGTATCGGCGCCAGTTCACTGAATGGCGTGTTGGTCCCGTAACAGAGAGCCGAAGTAATACTGCAATGCAAAACACAGCCTTATCTAAAACCTGTCTAACGCACAATCGGATGCTTTCGACGCACTCAAGGGCTTTTAAGTAATAAAAACATGCTTTCTTGTATATAACCCTGCGAGTCGATTCCTCAAATCACTTATGCGCGTCTACTGTATTCTAGTTTGTTTTGTTCGTTAGTTTTTGTTTGCTGCATCCATTCAACACCTTAAGCTATTCCCAATATGATGAGGTTGTATTGGGTGCGGAGCACATGAGGGAGGCAGACTGTCGTATGCTGTCGCCGTCGATGGGCGTAACGTTGGCACAACCACATGTACCGTATTTGCCATCTGTGTCGCACACTCACTCTCAATAGACGTCTTTTTTCCCTTGTTCTTCATTTCGCCGAAGACTTTAAATAAAGCCACGTGTAAAAATGTTAAAGAAATGAAACAGGGGAGAAATTGAAACAGAGAGGAAGAACGGGAGAAAATTGGAAAAATATTGGTGAAAAGAAAATAAAAGACAGAAACAAAACTGAAAAATGCTATAGGATAGAAAGCAAAAGGAAAGAAAAAGAAAAGCGAGAAGAAATAAATAAGGCTGAATTGAACTGAAGTGCTATTGCACTTCAGTTCAATTCAATTTATTATCATAAAGCCCCCCCTCCTCTTTTTTGGAGAGGCATAGCATGCGTTGTGCGGTTGTATTTAGGTTAACAAACGCAGTGAACGTAGTTTTAGTCTTGAATTTGATCAATAATACAATAGGGAAAAGCAGATGATAAGACGGTGGTGATGATGTCCCGGGGAAGGCGGTTTCAGTCTGTGGCAGTTCTAAAAAAAAGGATGCACAAAAAGTAGTGGTGCGTGATGATGGGCAGGCAACCGGAAATGAATGACTGGTTCGATGAGATATGCGCGTAGTCACTGTTACATCAGGCGGTTGATTGAGCGAGGAATGAAATAGAGTTTCAGTGCGGCGACACAAAGAAAGGGGTGGGAGTCCAGATTTTGTTTTCAAAGAATAAATACTGATATCGCATGAGTAAGATGAGGAAATTAATCTGACGGCACCATTTTGTGCAGCTCCTAAAGCATTGATTAAGTACGCTTTATCTGGTCTCCATATGGCAGATGCATAAACTTTCATCAGGCTTGGCATTATTGGCGCGAAATAGCCTTAACGTTTTAAAGAGTGAACGTCAGAAAGAGACAGGCAGGGCATATTTGGTACATCATTGCATTATAGTGTCGTCATGCTCAAACTAAGTTGCGCTATATCAAAACAGCGTTGCAAAGCCCAAGAGTGCAGACTACTTGTCAGTAAGACATTTGCGTACATACTCCATCATTTAACGTTTATGGTAAAACGTTTAGGCTGCACCGCATGCCGACCCGAAAGTCGTGGGTTTGATCCCGGCCATGGCCTACGCGTTTTGAAGGAAGCGAATTCCTCGAGGACCATCTGCAGATGTGGTACGTCAGTGCACGTTTAGAAAGCACCACACAGTCGAAATTCCCCGAGCCTTCCACTGTGGCGCGCCTCATATTCACATAGTTGTTTTGGCTCGGGAAACCCGAGAAGTGGCTATTATTGTCAGATGACTCTGTCTCTTCATAATGCGACAACCCCATCAAGATACTGACTTAAGGAGAACAGGCAAACTAGAAAGTCATCATCTTTCTAGGTTTCTGGCAAGTTTGCAGGCTCATTAGTCTTCAACATGATAGATCGTTACCATCATGAATATTCAGCTATTCTTCAAAAGTAATTAAAAGGTTTACAAAAGTGTACAGAAAAAGATCCAGAATTTTTCAACAGTCTCATTTCATATACTATACACCATACCAGCGTGTGCCTACGATATTCGCCTGGGCATAGCAATCGTCCACGCAAAGGACAGCATGGCGTGTTTTACAATAACTCATTATACGAGGGCTGTTCTATAAAGACTGAGAGACTGGCTCTCTAAAACATTTATTTTCGAAACATTTATTTCTGAACCATTACTCATAAAAACTGTTACTCATAATACCTTCACATTACTCATAAATACCTTCAAGGTATCCTCACAGCGTTTGTACCATTTCTAATAAACAGAGGTGAAGCTACTTTTAACCACCTGCTCGAAAACTGCCTCCAAACCTTGACTGCATTTTGGGCGGTGTCGAAATGACGTTGCTTCAGTTCCGTTTTCGCCACGGAGTACAGAAAAGTCACACCTTTGCTGCAATTACGTAGCAATGAACGTGATAGCAACGAATTGGAAGGTCACGCAAAGAATGAAAAGCAGATCGATGCATGCCCCGCGTTTCCCATTGTCACAGAACGCGCGCTAAAAATGGGCGCGCCGCCAAATTCTTGCGGTAACGCGCGGAAGAGACGCCGGGAGGTCAAAAGAAAAAAAAAGAAAACAAACATCCAAGGCTCCCCGGGCGCGCGCTCTTCCCTTGGAAGCGTGGCTTCGCCGACGAACCTCCTGACCCCACAACGGCGGCCGAGCAAGCGCTGGAAAGTTCCAGAAGGAAATACGCGTGGTCATACCGAGCTGAGTCATCTGCCGTGGAGGGCATTCCAACCGTCTCGCCCTCTTCCCAGCCTTCGCTGCGTATCGCGCCGACGAAATGACAAGAACTTTCTGGAATGTGGCGCGGAAGGTATTTAATCGAGCGGCCGAGACGAGAGAGCAGGAGAAGACGGAAGTTAGCGCCAGAGCGCGTAGGGATTCCGCCGTGTAGTCGGCGAAGGTTTTGTCCGTAGAGACAAAGCGGGAGAAGAAGATGATTTCCACCTGAGGGGTGACGACTCAAGCTACAGGCAAGAGTGTGTGTTTACCGCTTTTGAGCGAAAACGCGTGGCAACAGCTGTGTGTGTGAAGCCGACGTGTTTAGGCGAAGAAGTTTGAAGCTTGGAGAGTGGCCTATTGAAGACGGGAGGTTTCCTGGAAGAGAAACTTCGGCGAGGTTTCCTGGAAGAGAAACTTCGAGGGCGCGGAACGACAACAACACTGGACTTTGAGTGAGTGATTCTCGGAAGAGTATCATCCAGACTTTTGTTCTAAGAACTTTGGACTGGATAGGTTTTCTATCTCTTTAGTCTTTAGGTGTCTTGGTTGTTAAATGCATGCGACTGCATTGTACTGCGTATCGTTGTCTGTGTCCGTTGTTTTGAGTGTGGCTGATTGTACTGTGTAGTACGTTGTTTGATTGGTATGTAACTATTGTGGAGTGTGCATTCTTGTGTATTGTTTTTGATCTGCCATTTTTGAGAATATAATATTTGTTTTGTTTATCAACTCTCGGCTCTGACTTGTTCTTTGGGCCACATCCGGCGTCCGCTGGCGCGCCAAAAAGGACCACTTCTAAATTGTCCACGCTTTCGTGGTGCGGTTCGGGGGGCCAATACTTCGGCCCTTGGAATTAGCCCGGCGATCGCCTCCCTAATTAACGGGACCGGTGTGACAATTATTCTGGCGTCCGCGACAGGACCTTTTGGTGCACAGTGTGTCCAAAGTAGTGAGAAAGAGCCTCGAGTTGTTGATAGTGCTATCCGAACGATTTTGTGTGTTGTTCAGTGTTCTCGTTAACGAGTGCAGGGAAGTGTTCCGATAGACTGATTTAGGCAGATACTTTTTGCACGCGGCAAGGTTTTCTTTGAGAGTTGCGAGACGCCATGGGTCTCGAAAAGTTAGTCGCTCTTGGTGAGAAGATGGGTCTTTCTGGCGCCGAACTACGGAAGTTGGTCACCCAGAAGGAAAAAGAAGAAAAAGAGAGGGCCAAAGAAAAAAAGGCAGCTGAGCTGTAAAAAGAAAGGCTGGCGGTCGAAAGAGCCAAAGCAGAAAAGGAAGCTGAGTTGGAACGAGAGAGGTTGGCAGCTGAGAGAACCAAGGAAGAAAAAGCAGCTGAGTTGGAACGAGAGAGGTTGGCAGCTGAGAGGACCAAGGAAGAAAAAGCAGCTGAGTTGGAGAGAGAAAAGTTGGCAGCTGAAAGGGCGAGGGAAGAAAGAGAGGCAAGGGAGCGACAGCTGAAAGAAGAAAGAGAGCTGCAATTGAAGTTGGAGCTGGAGAGAGAAAGACTGGCAGCTGACAGGGCGAAAGAAGAAAGAGAGTAAAGGGAACGGCAGC